CACCAACCCATCACACGGAGCTGGGCAGCAAGTCGGCCCTGGGAAAGTCTGATCGGCGCGGGAAATGGTCGTCCCGGATCCTCATCTCTCACAAGTGGGTTGTGGTGAAACAAAACATCAGTGTTCGCAAGAGTTCATGGCGCTTACCGATAAACATCTCGGGTGCCGAACAAATTTCGCTGGCCCTGGCTCGCTGTAGTGATTGACGTGCAATTATGTCACATGTCGTTGTTTCCCATCTCTCGACCTGGTTGAGGAGTCTTTATGTGATGGCTTCCGGATGGATGCTATGGTAACCTCGAAGTACTTTATTTCTTCCATGGGGCACTACGACCCTAACCAACTCTCACCTACCTGACTAGGAAACTGGGTCCATGTCTTGCATTCTTTTCATTGGACAACGTGACTGCCCACGAGGTTTCTAAAATTGGAAGGGGAGAATTATTCCATGGAGAATAAGGGGACGAGCTTCTCGAAGAGCACCGTTCGGTCAATCAATGCGGTTTAGCGACTTTCATATGGGCCCCGTACGATGACCCATTTCATCACATACGGAACAGCTAATTTGTCGACGGGCACTTCGTTATAGCTCGGTCTCAAGACTCGCCTTGCCTCGGCTTAGGAAAAGGCGGAACATACGATTCTTAGTTGAAATAGATAGAGGCCGAGGTTTGTACTTGATGAATCTCCTGAAACGTGACATACACGGGTTCTTCGTCCAAAAGGCACTGGCTGCAAAGCTGGAACTGTCAGCAGATTTTTCGTCGTCTTTTCAAAGTGGTGGAAGTCTGGCTTTGTCTTGTGAGACTGAGGCCGCATGGTGACCTGTGGCTACCACAAAGGAACCAAACACTACTTCTTCATCTTGTTTCGAAGTCGGATACAATATGCAGCTAATTAAGACACTTTCACGTGTCAAAGGCCTTTTCGTCCCTGAATCTATTTTCACATCTCTGATCTTTTAGGAAGGGGTTTGATGGTCATGAGTGTCATGCATATTGCTCCTTGTGTCTTTAGATGATTGATAAGGATTTCGAGAACATATCAAGCAACTGCTGTTGAGTACTACTATTATGAAAGTACAAATTTCCACCAAAGCATTGTTTAGACTTGGACCGAGATGAAACTCACCTTTCCAATACATGGAGTCAGAACGCCACATCACTAAACGCAAGCATATGCAGGCTAATCAACTGAAAAGAACTGTGTAGGTTCAAGGGATAAGTATGTGCCTACTTGACAGGAACCTATGTCGGAATCTCTTCTACAAAGCATCTAGGTGCCTCGCATTGCACAAGATAATCACACATCCCCTTTGCACTTTTGTTGTAAGGTGGTGCCCTTGCCGCCCATCTTCATCACTGGGTCAGACTTCACCATGTCTTCTTTAAGCTTAGACCTTTGTGTTCCTTTGACTTGAATGTTGAACAGGTTCTAGGAAAAGGAATGATCGGGGGCGGATATAGCAAACGATGCACAACGGATGGCGCAACCCGACGGTTTCTCTCAATACTAACGAGTCTTTGGCGCAAATAGAAATGTTAATCCAACACCAGAAATGTATCAAGCGAAATCTATTCCGAGACTCATTTGTTTTCTCTTTTTCTCATTCTTCTTGTCAATATCTTTGCAGACAATGCTACTAATTGATAACGATACAGCGTCACAAAAGTCTACAGCTCAGTTTATTGCTTGCGTGTCCTTCATCGTAACCAGAAACCCAAAGCTCTGGCTCGCCAAAACCAAGATAGCGAACAGAACGGCTTGAGGCCTTGGCATCACGAATCGGCGTCCATCCTCGGCGTCAATCCAAGAGGACAAGGATGAAGAAAGCTATCGAGTTTTTAGTGCCCCTTCGTCCAAAGTCTGGTAATGAGACGGTGGCAGCCACTAAACCAGCGGCCTGAGGTGAGTCGACATTCCGTTGGAACCCAAGCAATTCCTTCATTTGGGTCACTTTTGTTTATTTCTTGGTTCTTTTTCCACCACTCACCTCACCAGGCAGACACACCGCCATGCAGCCACAGCGCACTCTTCACAGCCCGTGTCTGCCACCAGCTCCGTTGGATTGGTCCGCCCGTCTTCATCTTGTCTTCCCTGGCCAGAAAAAAAGCCCTTTCTCGGCACACTCAGCACTAACGTGGGGGGTGTTTAGCGAGATGCGCATTCGTTGGGGGCGGAATGGCAGTCTCCGGCTTTTTCTCATGTTGCATTTTGACCGTTTTCCACGTTGAAGAAAGGGGCTCAAGTTTGCCCCCTCTCACACTGATGCCGTTGCTTATAAAAAGACAACAACCGAAGAAAAATGAACTCCACTAATCATGTATTTCATGCAAGGAGTCTACATTGATCAAAGCCTTGGTGAACCATGAGGAAGAAAACCTGGATGTGGTGGGTTGCTTGCAGTTACCCCCACCGATTTACGCGATGTTTCAAGCCTCATTGTTCTTGGGGATAGGTGGGGGTGGTTTTGCGGCCCGTGCGACATGGCGAACAGAGCAGACCACCTTCTTTGAATGAGAGTTAGATGTGTGATGGGGGAAGGGGAGCGTGGGATTATGGTTCAAAGAGGAAAACCGAGGACGCGAGCTGCAGCCCTCTCTGGGAAAGATGAGATGACAGATTCATGCAACTTGTGGTCGAGGGTGCAAGTGACAGCTTCAGAATGGCGGGGGAGGGGAAAGGAGGGTTTCAGACCCCCACCAAAGACACGGCCAGGCAATTAACAACGAACCGTGGCTTTGGAACCCCACGAAGAATTAAGACGGAATTTGTTGTGCCTCTGTTGTGGGGGAAAGAAACGTCAACGAGACATACAGAATACCGCAGTGATAATTGTGGAGTAGCACCAGCACATATTTGCTGTTTGCTAGTTCCTGTTTTCGTCCCCGAAATCTTTTTGGTGAAAATAGAGGGAAGGAGCTTTCGGTGACGTTCCCCTGCAACGCTTTGGGATGAGGCCAGGGAGCACGTGGGACGGCTGCGTTTATTGTCTTTGACCCGAACTTTAAGTTCTTCAGCGCTCCTCTTTTCGTCCATATCCATTTTGATGTTGCAATCCCCCCTACCATCAATCCCGATAGGCAAAATTCTTGCATTTCGACATACCCCGCGATGCGTCCCATGTCGTGGGCCCGGTCCGGAGGAGGTTAGCCGGGGCCCGGACCATCACGTGGAGAATGTTGGACGACAGCCCCAATGGGTGATAGCGTCTTCCAGAATAACCTCGGCACGGTGGGCGAGACTGCCGACGGGAGGTCGACCAACAGCACTGCCATCGCGATCGCGACTTCCAGGTGCCGTCCGGGCCGGTCATTGCGCGGACCGTACCCGCGTATTACAATGCTGTTGAGATGAAGTGGCAAGTACACACTTCGCTTTTGTGACACGTCGTTCAATCTGCTGCTTCTCCTTTTGTTTTGTCTTGGCGGTGCTGCCCTCTCATTACTCTGCTCTGCGCCTGTGTCTTAGACTCGGTGCAACCACAATCACGAATCGGCAACAAAAGAAATATTAATCCCGCCTCGCAAGTGCAGGTGTGGGTGGGTGCCGACACTTCAGCGTCGGTCCACCGGGATGGCTTCCAATGGCGACACCCGGCTTGCTTTTCAGGAGTGTATGAGCCTCGCCAAACTGCCACCTCCTCCCGGCGAGCAAGGACCGGTCCGGCGGTTCATGTCGCGGAGAGCAGCATATCGGCCCGGCGGCGAATTGCCCGAGACTCCTTTGCCACCCGGAGCTGGCTATGGTGGCCATGTTTATGCGCAGTCCGCTCTGGCAGTGTGCCGGACGCTCGACGACACAGAAGAGAAGGGCAAGGAGAAATTGGGTATTCACGTACGTGCCAACCCCCAAACGTCCGTTTACCCTCTTTCTAATTCGAGGCAGACGATCCATGGATACTTTACTCTGCCAGGTGTCTTCAACCGTCCTTTTATCTACCAAGTGACACCAATGTCAACGTCGCGTAGTTTCACCACACTCTCTGTCACTGCCCGCCAGCCGTTGGAACCCAGCGCCAATCCGCAAGGGGACCACTTCCCATTTGTAGATGCCTTGCTCCCTCTTAGCACCCCCAGCTTCACCGCCATCTGCTCCTTCAAGCTGCCTGAAGAAGATAGTGCAGGCGTTAACAAGCAGGAACATGCGCCACAGAAACGATACGCCGATATTCTTTCCAGCCGCCCAACAGAGGACTGGCCTCCAGCACCGCCCCTTGACGTTAACGGTATCATCTCAATGGTGGGGGCCGACATAGTTGGCGACTTTCCCGCGGTCGACGGGAAGAAGGTCGACATGTTAGCGTTCAACGAACACAAGCCTGTGCATGAGCGGCGCGAGTTGGTGCTCTACCGCCTGCTTCGACCACTGCCCTCCGATGGCAGCGACGGCTGGGACGCCAATGCTCACTTGCTGGTGCACGCTTACTCGGTGGATCGCAATGGCGTCTTGATGGTGGCGAACCATATCGGCTTCGGCTGGACACTGACGCGGGCCGCTTCCTTGTCGTATTCTTTTGTCGTCCACACGAATCCGGAGGAGGCCATAATGCACCATCAAGACGAAGGCAAGGGCGGCGGCGGCGGCGGCTGGTGGGTTCAAGAGTCATCCTTTCCGCGTGCCGCATCTGGAAGGGGCATCATTATGACCACAATCTGGAGCCCAGAGGGCGTCCATGTGGCAACCATGTACCAGGACGGGATAATTCGGGGTCAGGAGGACCCTGAGCTCGATAAGGCAAAGCTGTGAGATGGAATGGCTGACCGATAGAGTTGAAGATGAAGAGCTCGGATCTGAGACAAGGACGTACCCGGATGTTACGCAAACTGTAAAATATTTACCCGTTCTTCTTGCTAAGACTCTCATTTCTGTATGGCAGAGAGCATCGTCCTCCATACGGGACTCATCCGCCCGCTGTCTGTTAGTAACCTCCTTCCCGCCATCACTTTAGACACGCGAAGATGGTAAAAAGCATGCGGAGGTACCCAAGTAAAGATTCTTGCCCACAATCAGAATTGAACTGATGACCTTGTCATTAAGGAATACTAGTGACACGCTCTACCCCTGAGCTATGCGGGCTGTGGATATTGTTTGGTTGATGGAAAAAGCCTACATTGAAGGACTTGTGTCACGGCTGGCTAGGGATCCCACGGATCGCAGCAGGAGATGTTGACTCGCCGTATTTTTTCTTTGTAGCTCCACTCTTGACATTTTCTTCCCGCCAAGCTGGAGGACATGGTAGCCAAGTAAGGAGAACTAGATTTAAAGTAAATATTTTGTAAATATACATTTCATTTATCAATGATTAACGTTTACGTGTCTAATAACCTCTATTAATTTGCAACGAGCCTAAATGTCTACACTAGGTTCACTTCAAAGGGAAAGAGGGAAAAAAAAAAGTGGTTGTGGCAAAAAGTTGGGTTTGTTGCCCACAATCAGAATTGAACTGATGACCTTATCATTACTAGTGATACGCTCTACCCCTGAGCTATGCGGGCGGAGTACGCCGGTCTCGTGAGTGAAATGACGTCAAAGATTTTGCTTTATGTAGTCTAGGGGAATTAAACTGAAGCATTAAAGGGATAAGGCTGAACACGAATTAAGACAGGTAGATACGAAGCTTAAATAATAGGGAGGGTTTTCATAATTATTGATTGCAAGTAATGTTCTTTTGTTTATCCGTAGAGAATGCTTTAGTAAGTTGAGGGTTAGGGTTTAATATACGAGGGTTTACTAGCTACACCACTCGAACTTTACCCTCTGCACTTGCGTGCCTCGATGAACTGCAGCCTTCATATTGGCACAGCTCTAATCGAAAGATTGAAATTCGCAGACAGAAAAGGCGGCCTCTCTCGGAATCACCAACGCGATGCTACAGAGACAGGACAACCTATGAGACTGAGGCACGTGCGCAGTCACATGCGTCCTACACTAATCCTAATCGGGAAAGGACCTTGGACGGGCTCGGCTCCAAGTCTGAATCAGACCATTTCGTCAAATCCCCATCGCAGCTTGTTTCCTGACCTCCAAAGACAAACCACGACCACCCTCATCGCCAATTGAACTCGCACACGCCACGAAAGATGTTCTTGCAACGCTCCGCCGTGGCTGTCGCGCGCCGCGCCGCCATCTCCCCCGTGCTGCGACGCAGCCTGGCTACCTCAGCCATCGTGCGCCGTAAGTGAAGAAGGTCCTAAAATCTCGCGCAGCCGACAGGGAGCAGAGCTCGGGAGAAGCTGGAGCTTGCCCTGAGCTGAGCTGGGCTCTGCTTTTTGCCTGCCTGCTGCGTCACCACTACCCACCGCCCGATTGCTACATGATTTCCGACGGCGGAATTACGCGAAACTGATAAGCAAATCATCTCCCAGAGCAATCCGGTTCCGATTCCTCCGTCCCAAGCACCAAGATTAAGCCTCTTAGCGGTACGAACCCCCCCCCCCCCATTCGCCTCCTTCCCAGATTCGATACGGGACTCCATCCCGAGCTTGACGTCAGTCAATTGGATGTCTGCGCGCCCTCGCAGTCCAGAGCATGGAAGGGCATGACACGAAAAGACTTGGAGGAAGAGAGATGGCACGGATGGATTGGGGGCAACATGAATGCTGACGTCTATATTTTTCCACACCAGAGATCAAGACTATGGACGACCTCCGTGGCCCCGGTGCCGCCCCCGGCACCGTCCCTACCGACGTCGAGCAGTCCACCGGTCTAGAGCGTCTCGAGATTCTCGGCAAGATGGAGAGCGTTGACATTTTCGACATGCGGCCGCTGGACGCCTCGCGTCTCGGTAAGGGAAACCCTCGCGATGGACAAACACGCAGGATGATGATAGAGGAGGCTGACTGACGGGTTAGGAACACTCGATAACCCTATTATGGTCCGCTCCGCTGGCGATGAGCAGTATGCCGGCTGCACTGGTGTCCCGGCCGACTCCCACGAGGTTATCTGGTTAGCGGTGAGTGTGATGCACTTTAAAGGGATATCCCTAACTGGTACGAGACGAATTGTGGAACAAATAACTGACGCACTCTGCCCTGTCTTTAGATGACCCGCGAGCGCCCCGTCGAGCGTTGCCCTGAGTGCGGCAGCGTCTACAAGATGCAGTACCTTGGCCCTGCCGAGGACCCCCACGCCCACGATCACGGCCACGGCCACGACGAGCACGCCTGGGAGGAGCCCAAGACATTTGCCGACTACGTTAAGCCCAAGTACTGGTAAAGCGTGGTTTGCGATGGCTGGGACAACGAGGGAGGGGTTTATGATTATAAAGAGCCGCAAACTTGCTCCAGGGTGTGTGGGACTTGTAGATTATTTGGGGACGGACAGACGAGCTGTATAGAATTCCTACGTCTTTCTCTACCAAATCTTCGTCTGCCGTGTGTTAAGCCGCAATGAGTGGCAGTCAAGCATGCCAATGCAGCCCAGCTCCGTTACAAGGATATAACTTCGGCTTCGTCTGCCATTGGCAGCCATTGGCCGTCCGTAGAGCCTCCCACTATCCACAGAGAAGCGGCTTGTGCCCGGTGCAGAGGAAGCATTAGGTAGGTAGAGTCTCGAGGTTGGCCCAAGGCATCATGTTGGGTCAGTTACCTCCTCAAGCAGGAAGCAAATTCGTCCCAGATGCCAGTGCTCTCCGAAGCATGGGAGTGTGTCCTCAACTCGGCAAGGGTTATAAGTAGGTAGGTAGGTACTGTAATGTCACCATCCTGCACCCACTCTTCAACCCTCATCCTCTTCTCCAAAGCTGAGCTTAATCTTCTTGGCAGTCTTTTTCTTGGTCCCCTTGTTGGTCTTGCTCGCTGCTGCTGCTGCTGTTGCAGATGCTGCTATGTCTTTGCCCTCTTTTGTCGTCCCTGCCTCTGCAGTTGTTTTTTGTTTCTTCTGCTCCTTCACCCTCCCTGCTTTGGGATCTTTCTCGTCGTTGTCATCGTCCTCGTCGCCGTCATGCGCTCCAATCACCTTGCCTACTTTCCTCTTCTTTCTCCCTGCTGCTGTAGCGGCGGCGTTCTCCTTCTCCTCCGTTGCCCTGCTAGTGTCCTTTTGTTCAGGTTCCGAAGATTCAGGACCAGGAGCAGCGGTGACGGTGCCGTCCTTGCCAACCTGCACGACCGCCCCGTCGACCGCGTGCCCGTGCTCGTCCACCACCAGCGGCGCGTCCTCGGCCTCTTCGCTGCCTGTGCGTCCTGGCTTGGTGGGTCTTCGCTGCGCGGCGAGGATCGGGTCCGGGCCGTCGAAATCACGGGCTGCTTGTTCGCCGCGCAGGCGTGCGAGAAAAGGCGGGAGTGAGGTGTTGTATTGGAGGTTTTTGGCGTTGATTTTGGACATTTTTGGGGATGCGCCAAACAGGCGCCTGGGGCGAACGGACGTATGTGTGTCTGGTATTGCTAGCAGATTGGAGAGTGACTGGGAGGTGTGTGAACACTGGCGGAGTGTGCGCGAGGGACGAGTGAGTGTAGACTGGGATGGGGAATTCGTGGTTCTGTCTTGACTTGCGGGCTGTTGTTGTAGTGGGTGATAGTGGAACTTGCCGCGCATCCACTGAAGTCTGAAGTTAGCGGACGTGAGTCTGGAGCGTGGATGGATTGAAATTGTGGGGCCGCGATACTGACCCTAACCCTGATCATACCCTGGAATGAAGATGAGAGCAATTGTTGACCATGTGCTAAACAGTTTTAGATATAAATAATTGCCCATCTGTGCAGAGTCAGTAATCTGCTTCGAATAATATGTGCCACGCTTGTTATTACAGCAACGGTGAGGACTAACTTGAATCCTTGACCGAACTTCTGATTCTGCAATCTGAAGAGCAAGCTCGGGTTTTGTTTGTCTAATGAGAACAAAGAAGTATCAGTGAGGTCGTCTGTAAGAGAAGGCTTTACAACAACTATGTATTTCAAGTTCTGGGTAAGGGCATGGAAAAACCAGAATTATGAATTAGAAATGTGTTTTTTGGTGATCTTGATCACAAACCTAGAGTAAAAAAAAAAACCCTGAAAGTGTATCAAATTCTCAGTTCTCTTGTTGAAGTTTGGCAACCACCAACTATATTTGTTAGCCGTCCTCATGTTACTTTTCCGCGTTTTACAGAAAAATTGAATCTGGGGCGGTGTTTATATTAACGAGTAGTGTTGCCAAACCTGCCCTACCTGTTGACAAATAAAGTTGATAGTGTTGAACAAGAGATGTCACCGGGTGGCTAAGCTTGAATTCGAAATCTAGGAAGTGTCTCCAACCGAAATGTACGGTGTCTATGTTTCACCTCAACACCGTCGCCGTCCCAGTTTCAAGTTGAGGAGGTGAGTAGCTTGGAGGATGCAGCGCCAATTGTGTGGCCAGAACCAATCAATTTTGGCCAAGACACAGGACTTGGGACGTTTGTGGCTGGTTCGAGTAAGCACACTGGTTGGCAACTGCCAAGTTGAGACATAGACAGCTCCATAAAACCGACCGCTCCTTCCTAAGACACAGCCCCGAGCGCTCGGTGAATAAATATGCTGGCGACTACCTCCACTTAATCACGCCAATGGAAAAACCACTCACTCAAGGCACACTGCAGCCTGGAGCCTCATCTGCAAAAAACATGCACTGCCAGCACACACCACTGGGTGCATCCAATCGCTTCAGGGACAGCGGTCCGCTGCAACCCCCAACTCGGCCTGCAGCACCTAAGTCATCCCACCCTCGCGGCTAACTGCATCGGATGCCAACTCGCAGGACTTTGCACATAGAAAATAAGCCGTCCCCCTCACCGCATTCCAATTCACGATACATTGTTTCCAGCACACAGTTTTGGTGCCCAGGAGAAGATTACAACATGTCTTCAAGCACAGAGAATGACTCCGAGGGGAAAAGTAGCTCCGAGTTGACCACGCCGGGGTCTTCGACGCCGCCCTCGACCTCGGCCGAGTCCACTCCGCCGGCTACCGTTTCCGGCTGTCAGTGCTCGGCTGCAACATCTACATCATCTACGCTCCCAGCACCACAACCATCAAATGCTTCTGATGGCTCCTCCAACACTGCTATACCCTTGCCAGCAACCGGGCAGTTGCCTGTTCCACCGTCGCAATCTCCAACCCAAC